GTCGAATTAGAGCTGAAAATTTGGTAATATATCAATTTCCAGCAAGAAGTATTTTGTATTACTTGTTCTGCAAAACTTCTTCCAAAGCTTCCATTCTCATTCATCTCCCTTTTTAGATCTTTTGTCAGTCACTGAGGTCGGTTGGATATATTGGGCACTGATAGTGGACAATGGCTTTGCATCAGATGCAACAGCCGCTCCTTCAATTTATTCCAGTCGTCAATTACATATCCTGAGAAAAAAGACCCTAGTCTATTTGCTCTGCTCTCATTTGAGAGAAGTCGTTTCGCCATATATTCGGTCTTTGTTCGTCCATTGTATGAGGTACCGAACAGAGAACATAATGCCGCAAAAGTACAACGTAATCATTTCGACCAAATGGAGGTAGGCAGCATACCTCGTCTGCACTGTCAGGAGACTAGGTCTAAACAACTAGCCTTTTGCCCTCCAGGTGCTCTAGTTGGAACGAGGACGTGTTGTGTGAGAAGAGTCTCAAATGTTGTTTTTAGAAGATGGTGATTGAAGGCGTTTCTAGAACAATTCGCCCGCAAATCGTTCCAAATGATGCTGGGTGCATTTCAGTCACCCACGAGTACAACATCAGGTCGACTACCTATCTCTTTATGCACTTCAGTAAACACGCATCTGCATCAGCTTCTGTCCGCGGTTGTCGGAAGCAGTCACGGCTTCCAGCGGCTGCGACCCCCGTGCCTTAATTGTCAACCAAATAGCCTCCATATCATCAGTAATCCTTTCAGTGCTCTCGCACGCATTTAAGTCGCTCTTTCGATACATAGCAACTCCTCCACCCTGGCGCTCCACACGGTCTCGCCTAAATAATTGGTATCCGGATAGCGCTACATCGATATCACTGACGCTATGTGGCAGCCATGTTTATGTCCTTGCTATAACAGCAGAGGCCACATCAGTAACTTGTATTCGAAGCTAATCGAACTTCGAGAATATATTCTGAGCTTTGGTATACAGACACTTTAGTCGGCAACACTCCGCAGTGTCTAGTTGTTTTGGGCACGAATTTCCAAATCCTACTGTGCCACAGCCG